ATAAAGATGCGAATCTGTGCACATTCCCATTTTACCTTGGTGTGCGCCAAACTGTGGTATATTTTTTATATGTGGCAAAATGTCAGCCTGCTGGTTTTTTGGATACACGTACCTGCACCTTGGACGAGAAAAGACAGGGACAGGTGTATGGATGAAATGCGAAGGAGCTGCAACGCTGCTCATCCAGATATGTTTCGAGGGATTCACAGCTCAGGAGCGAAAGCCTCACTCTGAGATCCGCAATCTCGAACAGCCCCTAATCACCCCCCCACCCATAAAGACGGCATGTCACCATTTCCACTTTCAGAAATTGGCACAATACGACGGAAACAGCACAGTACTCGAAAGCAGCGCTACTCTTCGCTCCAACTGCCTGTCTCGTCAGTTCCCTTGACCAATTTTCAGGCGTGCCTGGTCCATCTCCATCGAGATACTTGGGGAGTATACCTCCGTCGTTACAATGACCTAAACAAGCAGTTTATTGGCGTGTTATAGCATATTCGCTGTATGGAACGTCCCTCGACTACGGGGAAAAGTTGATGTACACCGAAGAGCTGATAGCTGCATCGACAAGCGGCACCCACCAAAGGTGACGTGTGAACCGACGATGGATGCAGTAATATCAATCCCTATCTACATCGATCTAGAAACTGAAAACGACTTGACCAAGGACTCCGAAAAATCAGTCTTGGCAGATGTGTCTGCATTAAGGACATGATAAGGAGAATCGCCAACACTGACTGGACCGTCGAGGTTCAGGTACATCCACCTTAGCCGTTTTCAAGATTTAGAGAGTTCTCACTAGCCCAGAAGATACATGTGGTTTACTCTACGCCATGCCATGAGCGGATCCAGACTGTACCCAGCCCTTCCAGAGGTATACCCCACTACCTTCGGCTCTAAACCCTGGACCACGTGCGTGCCATAAGCCAAGTACGGAGCCTCCTTTCACCCACAACCAACATCACATTCGTCAGGGATTAGGGAAATATAGTGCCTGCAAGCCCATGGACACATTTTGAATCGGGGGATACTGACTAAAAGGAAGGAGTGCAAATCACAGATCGATCCCCCCTTCCCATCTGTTGGTCTGTCTGTGCCTTGAAAGGGGAAGGAAATGGTTGGCTTCTTCGAGTGGGGTGAAGTACAACAAATCTACCGCATTCACGTATTTTTTAGGGCATGCACCGCATGTGGGCCAAGCATACAGCCTGAGTCATTCACGAAAAAAAAAAGCAGAATGGGTATGGCCATGCCAGCTACAAGAAAATTGGACTTGTTGCACATCCACATCTCATGTTGGAGAGTTTGCGCAATGCGACAGGTGTGGAATAACATTACCCCGGTGTTGGAGGAACTGCCATTCCCACCCTACTTGCTGGATCGCTGTCCCTACCTGCAAAGACATAGGGGCGCTTGGTCCGATCTTTCAAGCCGATTATGAACAAATACCTGGGTGGAAGATTCTGGGCTCCCTGACATTGTGCAGGCCCTCTTCCTGTCACCTTTGACGCTGCGGCTGTGCGGGATTGGGTGCAGCAGAAGCAAAAAATACTGCGACGAGCGTTTCCAGTGCGATGTGTGTCTGGGTGCATTACGCGTAAAGCAACCACCTGGGAACCCTGTCACCGTCAAAAGGGAATTAAGCTTCTTTAAGGACCTAAGGAAACAGCTGATTGGGCAATTTACAGCACATTCGCTGTAGGATTGCTCCTCGACTACGATCCACAAGCGTAAGATGTGTGAGTACACTGAAGCGCTGATGCTTGTGTCGATAAATTACTACCTCATTTAAGCTGTCGGTGAGCAAAGATGGTTGCAATAATGTTAACATCCTTTTCACATCCATTCTGGAGGCTAACAAAGGGAGAATGACCAGAACAAAAGTCCCTGCTGTTGCGATCCACCGGAGACATGATGGAAAAGAAACCACAAACGATGCAGCTGTGACCCTGACTGGACTGTCGAGGTTCAGGTTCCTCTGCTTTCATCTAGGCTTGTTTTATATACCCAGGAATGTCTCACTGAAACCAAAGAACATTGAGACTCCTTCATCCACCATATCATGAGCGAAGAGGATTTACCCCGGTTCATCAGAGGTATACCACTACTTTCGCTTTAACGCCTGCGGTCGGCATGGATCTCACAACTAATAAACGGAACGCCACCTTCGCATTTGAGGAAAATCAAAGATGTCCCGAGTACTCATGCTCGAAATTTCCAACCGCATTCCACAATGTACCTATATTGTGTTGAATGCTGTTTATTTGAGTGTGCTGCCGTCCATAACTTGTGGAGAACGTCTACCACCCATCTAACTCTTCCTCCAAATGTTCAATACAACTCAAGAGGCTCGGGTATAACCTCACGACCGAACCCGCCACGGCATTCCTTTGGCAGGGAGACTTGGAAGCAATGTGCTATTACGACATATATCGAATTATCAGCGGATCGACGTTACAGTCCGTGTTTTGGCAGAGAGACAAGGGCGGGGAGTGGAGGGGGAGAGGTATTTTATGAACCTACTTACCCGTGTACGTTCACAAGTGAGGGGGTTGTTGATCCCTAACAGATGACTCCAAGTACTATCTTCATCCATCAGAAACAGAGAGGCTTGAGGCAGGAGGAATTTGGAAGCATACTGGGATCAGAAAAAGGACTTTGCTGAGTGTCCGCATGATGGCTCAGTCCTTTGGGTTGAAGATGGCGTGTGTGGGGCTTTTCGAAGTGAAATCACGCACAACAGTGTTAGACTACATCTATCACGACTTTCCGACGTTCTACAAGGAATCAAAGAAGGTACGGTGTGATACTGGGGTAATATCTAAGGTATCTCTATCTTCTGCGGTCGAGCGACGAGGAGCCGCTCTTGAACCTTAGTTCTACATTACCTCTTCCAAGACACACAGAGATGCTGGACCCGCGTTTTGGCTTCAGGGATACCGGCGACATGCTCTGGACCGGGATCGTAGAGGTGGCCCCGAAAGGAGCATGCCGCAAGAGCTATCTCAGCAGGCATTCCGGCAGAAGAGCAATTTGATATCTATGCTGCTCAGGACGAAATGTCGGCCCTCATCTCGGGCGTGCAGTCGGAGAAAGGAAGCTCCTTCCATTACCGGCATGAGGCTTTTCCCCCGGTGCCAGAGAAACGGAAGCGTCGACGTGGTGGAAGACGGTGGGGCAACATAAATTTCCACGATGACCGCCAGCGACGTCCTCGCAGTACAATCGATAAGCATGTCCGCGGAGAGAGTTTCTTTCGCTAGGGCAGGTATAGCTTCGCCTTTCGTCAGGCTTATTGGTAATCGCTGGAACCGAAGAGATGGGGCGTTGTATCGTTGGTGGGCATGGAGGAAAAGGGCTAGGATGTCGGCTGTGCTAGACAAGCTGGGGAGGAAAATGGTGAAAGCGAACTGTCAGAACGGCCGTAGAGCCTGAGCCCTGGTGGTCAGGAACTAAGGATTGTTGTTGAGAAGTATCAGTGCCATACCTCGGCCTGATAACAAAGACGATACAAAGAAAAACCCTGTATAGCAAGATACTCCAAGAGCATGATAAAGAGGACAGTGGCGCAATGGAGTAACATTTGAACCTGTTTGAACACAGAAGCTACTTGTATACAAGCTTGCTGTTGAACATCAGGAAAGATAATTTTGTAAAAACTCAATCTTCAGAACGATTACGCTACGCAAAAACTATCTTCCAACTAAAGCATGGGCACCGATGGAATTCAAGAGATATATCCTCCATCGAATTATGGCCCATTACGCCAACGACCCTCACCAACTTATACGCAGACTTCAATCTGGATTCAACAGAGAGATGTGCAACGAAGGACAGATGAAGACTTTGAGATGAACTATTGTCTACCGACTACCAAGTCATGTCAGGGCTCATCGACAGATTGCTCTTTCAACCAGGATTAGGAGGAGAAATTAAACAGGGAGTTGAAAGCGAAAGTTGCTGCATCTCAGCTCGGGTTGCTCCTGCAAAAATATTCTTCCAGCTTTCCATCCCTGCTGTGGAACCGAACCAGACCTGACGTAGAACAGTCCAGCGACTTCTCATACGTCTGATCTCATCTAACGGTGCTGCAAGAGCCTCCTTACTTGGTGGGCCCCCTAATATCCTCACTTGAAAAGGAAGAGGAAGAGAAATTGGGAAAGGAACCGCCACTCTCGCCATTGCCATGCAATAATCCGCACGATCAAGCGTCTGCAATTCGTATAACGATAACGTGATTGGGAATCTAAACTATATCCGAAAACGTGTCGAACACAATAATCCGGTGTCACGAGAGGAGAGAACGTACCATGGTGGAGTTTTCCAATACCATAGGCCCTTCTCCCTTATATAAAAGTGTAGAGACGCGAAAAAAGGGAGAGGGAAGTGAAATTGTGTCAGTCAATCTTCCATCTCTTGAATGGCTTCGAATTTTGACGGTGGGGATACTGATCGGTTGATAACGGGAATCGATCCAGCTGGTTCATATGGATGCCAAAACCAACCCCGAGGGTGGATATACTGAAGCGAGATCATCAACTTACTCAGTTTAGGGTTCCGGGATTAGGGTATCATTATGGATGCGTCGAATTGTAAGAGGCTCTTGGACGGCTGGAAGGACGCCGTCACGAGGCACCACATTTCCATCCGAGGCAAATCCGAGGTAACTTCCAATCTTACAAACAGAAGGAGACCACTGTAGTAAAACATGCCCCGAGGTCGGAATGGTAGAATTTGAAGATGCGCTAGTTGCTTCCGTCTGCGCTGATATTTATAATTCCACTGTAGACGCGCTGGAAATTTCAGACTCTGAAGTGGAGAAATACTGCCTGTATGTATCGTTTCTATCCCACCGTCTAAGTGGAGAACGACTTCTATTTGATCTTGTTGGTCTCTCCATTCATAAGAGGGTGAGAGATTATCGTGTCAGACTATGATGAAAGAAGGATGGAGAGTGTGGCTTGGACACCGGGTTAAGGCAAAGGAGGGAGTTATATTCCCCCAAAATCCATCCGTCAAAAGTTTAGACTGGCGTAGAGAAAATCTTCCCGTATCCCATCACAAAACAAACCTAAACCCCGTCCCGTAATCCTCCTTTCCCCTCCCCCCCACCCCTTCATCCCTCCCCTCCAACCTCCCATTCTCCCACCTCAACAACGCCCTCAATCCCACCGCCAGCATGGCGGTCAAAAACAAAAACCCCGCGCAGATCGCATGCCCCTTCACGTACCCCGGCCCCTCCAGGTTCGGATACAACCTCTTCCCGAGCAGCGGACCACACTGCCCAACCAAATTCAACACCACGAACCCCACCCCCCTCCTAACATCCCCACCCTGGTTATTCGCCGTCCACGGTAGAATGTTCG